GCTGATGAACTCTCCTAAATGGAACCAATTACGATTTTGCTGCATCGGTGGAATGTGAACTCAAAGCATATCATTAATTCTTTTGTATCACCCTACCTATGTTTTTATCCCATAGGCAATAACAAAGCTTCCCTTCCTTCTTGAGGGGTAAGTCATCAGCATTTCTGTACATATATTCTGTAAGTAAGTGTGTGCAAAAAGAAAAGCAGACAGGACAAATTCTCGCCCTAGCTTTTCCCATAGTGATTCCTTAATATTCCTCAAGACTTTCCTCTAAACCTTTTTTTGTTTTTGGACAAAGTTTGGCAAGTAACATGACAGCTTTATGGTTTTGCACCCATAAAGCCTGATAACTTCCTGCACCAGTGGTGCAGGTGTCACCACCACCAGTGGCGCAGGTGGTTGGGTTTCTGGCAAACCCAGTGCTCTAGTCCATTCTCCAGCCCTCTGGAAGGGTTTCTCACCAATGCGTTTGGGAAATTTTGCCATAATTCAGCAGATACCTCATCATGTAATTTGTCCACATGATAAGTTTAAACCCTCTGTTAAATCCGGCTGTAGCTCCTTGTGCTAGCCTCAGGAATTTCTCCTCCTCTTGGGAGCTGTCATTTATCAAACACCAATTTGTTAGTTACCCTCAGTGGGTTGCAGAGACTTCATTCCCTTAATTTTCGCTTGTAAATTGAGCCTTTTGGCATCCTAATCACTCTGGTGTAATTTTACACTCTTCACTATTACTTTCAACCTGGTGACAGATTGAAAATAACCTTTGCTCTGCAGATCCCTTTATAGCGGGAACACATCTTGCCTGGTAACTGCTTTTCTGTTCCCTTAACCTTGCTATATCTTTGCATAATGTGTTTCTGAAAACTGCAGTTTCTATCATGATTGAAAAGATCTATTTGGCTAGAGAGGAGACACACACACTTGGGTTAGACAGTCATGCACTGCATAACTATTTTAAGCTTCCTCATGATGGTTCTTGCTTGTTGCAGCAGGTTTTGGGAAGCTGGCTCTTTAAAGTCCCTTATCATGGAGAAGAGACTGAGATGAGCTCTTAGGCAGAAGTTCTTCCCTGTGAGGGTGCTGAGGCGCTGGCACAGGTTGCCCAGAGAAGCTGTGTCTGCCCCATCCCTGGCAGTGTTCAAGGCCAGCTTTGATGGGGCTTGGAGCAACGTGATCTAGTGGAAGGTGTCCCTGCCCATGGCAGGGGGTTGGAACTAGATGAGCTTTAAGGTCCCTTCCAACCCAAACCAGTCTGGGATTCTGTGTTGAAGTCTGTAACCGAAAAACACCTCTCCAGTAATGCTATGATTTGTGTAACACTTCTTATTTAAAACCTGGACTCTGATGAAGTCCTGGCCAGCTTACTCGTGATACTGTCCACAAACCAGTATGTTTTGCACACCTGTTACTGATGCACTGCTGTCATGCTTCTTGCCAAATGCACCACTTTGTCAAAAACGAAAAAAGGATTAGAGGAGAGTCTTGAGGAAGTTTGGAATCCCTGTGGGAAAAGCTAGGGTGAGAATTTGTCCCGTCTGCTCTTTTTTTTGCATACACTTACTTAGAGAATATATGTACAGAAATGTTGATGACTTGCCCCTCAAGAAAGGAAGGGGAGATTTGTTGTTTCCTATGGGGTAAAAACGTAGGGCAGTACAGAACAATTGACATGTGCTTTATAGAACTGTGTTGTCTCTTTTCTGACGGCTGTAGATTCTTCCCCTCGAAACAAGCTGAGAGAAACAAAGGTGTTTTGCAGTATCTGTTGCTTTCTACATGTTTTCCTTGTGGACTTAACACCAGCAGTCAAAAATGAGGGGAAAATGGCTAGTTAATAACTGTAAAAGAGAGGGGGAGGAAGATGCTTCTATCTGAAGTGATGCTGGTGTGTTATGGAATGTCGTATGATGTGTCACAGCTGAGTGTGAGCACACTGGTACAGTAGATCGTAACTCCTCCACCTCCCGCCCCTTTTGAATTTTCAGGGCATGGGAGAGATGTTGTCTCTGCCAAACAAGTGCAGATGCAGCAGCTGCAAGGAACCGCTTCATAGAGAGGATCCAGACAACAGTATCCTTTCTCAGATCCCAACCCCTTCCACAAGCATGGGGTGTGGTACAGCAGCACCAGTGCAATTGCTGTAGTGTGCTCCCATCTGGAGAGTTAATGTCTGCAATAACAGGAGTTCAGAATGAGTTTCTACAAAGTGTTTGGGTTTATTTTTTCAGTAGTGTCGCTCTTGAACACTCATAAATCTTTGGCTCCGAACAAGGCCACAAGGCCATCATGCCATGCAGAGCTCTGGCATCTCACCTTCCCCCTGCAATGCCACTGCACAGGCTGCTTGCCCTCTGCCCCTAACTCCAGCTAGCCTGGCCCTGGGCTCACAGTAGTGCACAGAGATGGTGCTGTGAAACCTTCCTTAAGCTGCTTTTGTTTGAGTTCTGTTCACCAAGACCAGCCTTCAGTCCTGGAGAGATAGAGGAGGAGTTAAAGGTCCTCCAGGATGTCCCCTCTCTTCTGAGCCAGCATGTGGAAGCTGAGCTTACAGGTAAGGATTAAAAAAAGGGGGGTGAAGGGGGCAGAAGGTGGAATAAGGATGACTTAAGTGGGTTCCAGTCCCATGTATCTTGTGTTCTTGGCATGTGCTGGACACGAGGGACAGGAACATTCTCTGCCTAAAATGAGGGCTGGTGAATCCAAGGCCACTCTAGAAACTGGTATTCAGGGAGGAAGGTTTCAGTATACTCATGCCTGCTGGTTTTCCTCTGCTGCTCTTCCAGACCATCCCACCTTGCAAAGAGAGTATGAAAGCCTTCTAACCTTGGAGGGTTTGCAAAGCACAGTTTCCCAGTGCCTGCATAAGCTGCAGCTCCTGCGAGCAGGTGAGCCAGAGCTTATTCTTGTAGTGGGGTGTGAATGTGGGCAGCTGTGCTTGAGCAAGACTTTGCCATCTGTGCACACAACATAAGTTTTCTCCTGGTTATCGTAAATGGAAACGTAGCATGTAAAATTCGCTGGTGGCAAAGCTGTTTGCCCCATCTGTGTGCAGGTGAGGTTTGGGACTTATCTGTAATTCAGGAGGGCTGGTGAGGGAGCTGTTGGGAGGTGGGAGGTTGCATGCCATAGCTTCGAATGTCCCGATTGTGCTGTTCGAGGAACTCACCCTAACTAAAACAATGTCAGTCATTCATTTCTAGGAACAGTAATGACAAATTCTACAAGTACAGGTTTAACTTGTCCCTTTCTGCCTCCTGCCAACTCTTCCACCCTGGCAGGTGTGGAGGCCCAGAGAAGGCTGCATCCAGACTGTGCTGGGGACGGAGGAAGCTGCTCTCCAGCCTGTGTTCCTTCCAGAGGACAGATGCGTGACAGTGCAAGCATGCTGGCTGTGCCTCTCCTTTGTTACTCCAGTTTCCAGGAGCTGAGGGACCTGTTTGCCTTGAAGCTTCAAGTGTCAATGCTGTACCAAGAAATCGCCTTACAAAAGGTGAGTCTTTAAAAGGGTTTGTGCTCAGGTGTAGGGGAAAGAAAAGGGCAGTTATGGGACAACAGCTGGCATATGGGGTCTTGATGGGGGAGCAGCAGGGCAGCAAGTGCTCCCAGTGATGTTTCTATATTTATGCCTCATGTCAAGTCCCATCAGTGCTCTGCTTGCCTTGTGAATGGTATTTTGCAGTTAAGGCCAGAGCAAAGGCCTTTAAGTGTCTGGCCCTCTCCTGATAAGATACTCTTTTTTTTTTTTTTTTTTTTTTTTTTTTATTTAGCTGCTCTGAAAGAGTTTGGCAGTGGAGAATGGTTTTGGTAATACCTAAAGACCCCCTTTGGCAGCCCTTACAGTCCCATTAAGGCACCTGCTGGCATTCGGTCCTGAGTGACCTCCAGCTAGTGAACTCCTCTACTGTCTGTTCCTTTCCTTTTAAGCCTCAACCACTGTGCTGCTAATTGGGGTTTTACTATTCTGAGGCTGCCTGTAGGAACATGGTGGGAGGTCAGTCTCTCCACCAGCCTGAGCAGAGCAGCAGCAAAGGGCAGAGAAGAGCAGTGAAATCACATCTGCTCCTTTGACCTAAGCTTTGCCATTGACCTGAATGATGGAGACTTTGGAAAAGTAATTTCTTGTAAGACAGGGATGAGGTACTCATAACTGGCCATACTTCTCCTGGCTGAAGATAAATCACTTGCCTGTCTTCTTAGCACTATAATCCTGAATTATGGGTAATGAGGGTTTGATTTTTTTATCTGCCCAGAATGAAGTAGTGACTTGCTGCCTGCTGCTCTGTTGACTAACTCAATTCCCTCTGCACATGTCTCTAAATCTGTGCTTTTAGCTGCGTGAGCTCTAGGTATCTGGAGCAGCTGTGTGCAGGATAAGTGAAATTCTTGGGACAGGTGAAGTGAATGGACTTGGTACAAGATAAAGACCTTGGGAAAGGATGTACGTACATACTTCTGGGTCAAGTCTGTCCATTGCCTTTTTTGTGGAGAAGTGCCAAGAATCATAGAAATTCCCGGTAGCTCTTAGCCTGTCTTTGGTAAAGGCCTCTTTTCTTACACATCAGGAGCAGAGCAGGCAGATGGAAAAGAGAAGGGTCTCTCTCTAGGATAGAACAACACTGTAGTGCTCCTTCATGTGCCAGTTTTCCCCTTAGGTAGCTTTCATGTCTGCAGCTCTTAAGTCTTACCAGAGATGAGCAACTGTGTCCTGTTTCCCTGTGCAGAGATTTATAGACAACATGAAAGGGAACCCCCTGCAGATCCCCTGTACTCTGTTCTATTTGGGTCTTCCTTTGTTTCTACCCCTGAAAAACGTTTTCAGGGAGGTGACTGACACCTGCAGTTCATTGTCCATACTTCTGTAGGGCAGTGTGCTCAGCAGGCTGTGTGGGTTTTAATGTGCAGACTGCTCAGACTTCATTAGCTGATGTCATCTGAAAAACATATCCCAGGTAAAATGTCTTTCTGAGCAGTCATTCAAGAGTGGGGCACTAAAGGTTAACTTGTGTCCTTTGATTGGAAGTTGACCTGTGCCTAAGCTGTCAGTCACAGTCAGAATCCCAGAGCTTTGAGCTTAATGACGCTGCAGCAGGGCAGTGGGTTGTCTGGCAGCATGGATTGGGATCATGAGCAAGGCTTAATAAACCAGAGGCCAGGTTGGGAATGTTGGGCAGCTTTAGCATCCCTGCGCTGCTGAGGAGGAGTGCAGCTTTGTTCTGTTTGGGCTGGAGTTGGCCGCTTGCCTGTGTTGTGGATTAATGTGGCCCAACTGGGAGGTGACAGGAGTGAAGGGCTGAACGTCTCATTGGGCAAGTGCTTCACTGTGTGGTTGCAGAGCTCCTGAATCAACATCAGCTTCAGCTTCCTGCAGGATGCTGATCTTATTCCAGTACCAGGCCAGTTCTGCAGCAGTGGAAAAGCCACCACCATTTATCTCTGCTCTGGGAACACTGGGTGGCTGCTGCTGTACTTCATGAGTAGAGGATGAACAACTCTGCCTTTGTTAAATATTACAAAAGAGAGCACCTGCCCATCAATCAGCATGTTATTAGTCACGCTGCCCTGGTTAGGTACCACTTGTAATGCAGCCATCTCTCTTCATGGCATCTCAAAAGTGTGTGCCGGCTCTGGTGATGTGTCTCCTTTGCTCTAGGTCATGATGGCAGAACTACTGCCTGTCCTGGAGGCCAGGCCCTGCCTGGAGACCTCTGCAGCGCAGCTCTATCGGGCCATGTACACGCAGCTCTGTGAGGGAGGCAAGAGATTTCCTGTGCTGGTGCGGGACGAGCTGGCAGACTGAGCCCGTGGGAACCTCCTCCTGGCTGTTCACGTAACCACAGACAGTTTTAAGCAATAAATGTTTTCTGTTAACTTTTCTATTCTGCTTGTTTGTCCAACTGATTTCCAGGGGTTTGTTTTTCTTTTGTGGGTTTGTTGGGTTTGGGTCTTGTTTAGTTGGTTGTTTTTTCATTTTGTATCACTTTTATGACTGCTAACTCCGAGGCTTTGTGAAGCCCCTTCAGGGCTTCTGAGACGTTTGTTGTGGCTTTTTTTCCAAGGTCTGTCTCTCTTTCTAGCTGTAGATTCTTGACTGCCTGAGTCAGGACACCAGGCCTCTATATGCAGACAGTGTAGCAGGCAATAAAATATGATTTATATAGATCAGATAGCCACAGTCTGGTGGGACACAGCCTTCCTGCATCTGAAAATCCAGAGAACCTGCGCTGCTGCTTTCCTATTACTCTGATCACCACTTGGCATATAACCAGTATTATAATGGTCACTGGCTAGTATTCCAGAGTCTAGAGGACGCCACAGAGATGCTGCAAGGGTTGGAGCAGCTCTGCTCTGGAGCCAGGCTGAGAGAGCTGGGCTGGTTCAGCCTGGAGAAGAGAAGGCTCTTTAAGGGGAGACCTTAGAGCAGCTCCAGTGCCTAAAGGGGCTGCAGGAAATGTGGAGAGGGGCTTCAGACAAGGGCCTGTAGGGACAGGACAAGGGGGAATGGCTTTAACCTGACAGAGGGGAGATTGAGATGAGCTCTTAGGCAGAAGCTCTTCCCTGTGAGGGTGCTGAGGCGCTGGCACAGGTTGCCCAGAGAAGCTGTGGCTGCCCCATCCCTGGCAGTGTTCAAGGCCAGGTTGGACACAGGGGCTTGGAGCAACCTGCTCTAGTGGAAGGTGTCCCTGCCCATGACAGGGGGTTGGAACTAGATGAGCTTTAAGGTTCCTCCAACCCAACCTGTTGTGTGTGATTCTGTTACCCATTCTAAATCAGGCTGATGAAGCAGCCCAGTAGATGGCACCCAGCCCTTTCTGTTTCTGCTGAACCAAGCCAGGAGCTGTTGTTGGAGCTGCCTCCCAAGGGACCATCTTGTGTCCTGCCTGTGGAAAGCTCAGATCCGGTGGCACTTCTGACCTTGTCACCATGGGAAAATTCCAGCTTTGGTTCTTCTGCACCTTAGGTTTTGTAGGTAATCCCCAAATCCCCTGGCATCTCTATGTGACAGTTGAAGCAGAGCTTTAGATTCAAGTGGAATATCTCTGCCTGTGAGCATTTTGAAGTGATTTTAGGGCAGGGCCACTGTGTACTGCTGCTTATTGCAGTGACTTGCACCCTATCTCTTTGCTGGACATGGGCTGTTTGTCTGGGGGGATTTAGTTCGTTGCAGTGCTGACAGGGATCATTATTTTTGCTTCAGTTTTGTTCAAGGCCAGAGTGAGTTGTCTGTCTCTTCTGAGTGTTTGGCCCTTTCTGACACTCAGATTGCACTAAAAACCGTTCATAGAATAGATGAGAATCAGCATCTCTCACTTTATTTTTTAATCACATTGCATTCAGTTCTTTGTAAACAGTATTCAGTTTCCCATGGAGTCAGCAATCAAGGCAGGGGTTTGTTACCATCTTTCCTCCCTGCAGTGTGCACAGAAGTCCTGTGTGGTTTTTATCTGCATGGTCTACAGGGGCCAACAGGACTGGAGGATTGCAAGGTACTGATTAAAGGCTGCTCAGAGGAGTAGGTGCTGCCTCCTGAATTACCGTGTTCATATGCCATGGGTGTTAATATATGCATGACTGAATGTTAGGGATGATATTTGGTATTGTTAATTGTCATGCTGTAATCCATAACTTGTGTCTGTAAACCCTGCATGAGTCATGGAGCATCTGCTTCTTTGTGCAGAGCAGGCCAGTGTCATTTGGCAGGAACTCCAGCGCCATAGTAAGGACTGCATAAGCGGGAAAGGACCATGAAGAAGAGCCCAAGCCTGCAAAAATGGGCTTGCAGGAGTTGTTACAAGCTCAAGAGGGAAGCTGTCACCACAGGAGGGGTGCAGAAGGGGAGAAGAGAGCGTGGTGACTGACAGGTAGCTGGGTTGTTGTGTGCCTCTGGGTGCAGTGGGCTTTTATCGCTCTTCCCACAGCGCGAGAGGCATTTTGTAATTTTCATGAATGTGTAAGACTTCAAATCATGTGAATGACTCACTTCTTCAAATAAGTCTTGTGCTACAGCAGAGATAAAGATTTAGTAGCAACCTCAGAGGTTGGGGGGGTCTTTTCATGATGAAATGCACCATTGTTATAGAGAGAAATTATACTGGTACATCAAAATGAGACGAGGGAAAAAGACAGACAAAAGGTAGTATTTGTGATGTCAGGGGATAGTATTACAGAACTGCAGGAAATGAGCAGTATTTTTGGAAAGTGATAGATGACACCAGTGTTGCATAGGCATGAGCTGAGATGAAGCAGGCTGAGGGTCGGATTAGCAGCTCTTATTCCTGCAATAGAGTCTTAAAAGGCTTTTGTTTTTTTCACTACTGTAGGATCTGGAGTGGGATCCCTTCAAGGGGACAAGTTTCTTCTTTTCTTTCCAGAGTCTGTGACTTTAAGCATTCCCAACTTGTTTGGTTTGTCTTTTCCACCAGCTTCCTCCCTTCCTTCCCCTCTGCAACTTCTCCACTCACTGTTTTTGTTTCAGCAAATACATTTGACCAGTGGGAAGTCGGAGGCAGTGCTGCTGTTACTGCACACTGCAGACAACAAACCCTCTTGTAGGATTTCATGTGCACTGCTCATCTTTGGTTAGTTCTGGATGTTCCATCCCCGGCAGCGTTCAAGGGCAGGTTGGACGGGGCTTGGAGCAACCTGGTCTAGTGGAAGGTGTCCCTGCCCATGGCAGGGGGTTGGAGCTGGATGAGCTTTAAGGTCCCTTCCAACCCAAACCAGTCTGGGGTTGTGTGATTCATTGTGTTGAAACCTTTGAGGGGTTTATCCTGCAGATGCTATCAGATACACCACCACGTGCTTGCTATAGGTCCCTCCTTGGAAAACACAGCGTGTAGAGAGTGAACAGTGTGGCTGGGGATACTCTCCATCTAAACCAGAAATAATCTGTGTCTTGTTAAGAAAGAAGGCAAAGCTCACCAAGAGTGGTGTGGAGGAATGTCCTGCCTCTTCCAGCCTTTTTGAGGGGTCTCTAGCAGCATGTGAGCAGTGATAGAGCATGACAGCCCACTGAAATGATTGCGTCTACAGCATGAGCACAGGGTCGCACCCTGGGGCAGGAAGAACTCCCCAGTCATCTGGGCCTGGAGCACAGGTTACGGTCTGGAGAGGCAAAACCAGATGAACTGATAAGGGAACTTCATCAACAAGCAGTGTAAGATGGTAAGTGTTGAACTGGGGGAGAATTCGCAGCTCTCTCTGTAGATGACAAATTTGCTGTTGATGTTATTCTCCAAATGAGCTTTCTGTGAGCTCCAGAGAGGTTACTGTATTAAAACATTGTATGGAGTTCAAGTCTGAAGCATTAACACCTGAATCAGCAACTTGCTGGGCAGCATGTGCTGCTGTGCCAGGCCAGGGCTTTGAGAAAGAACAGTAGTGCTGTAAAGTGCTGAGACAGAAAAGTACTGGGGGCAATTATGTCCTCCACAAATCCTTCAGTTGGTTGTGGGGTTTTTTTACTTAACTCTGGCTCTCCCCAAGTTATAGGATTGAATTTGAACTTGGGATTTCCAGATGAAGCTTTGCTGAGAAACTTTGTCTGCTACTAAATCTGGAAGTGATGGTATTGGGTTACATGTGAGTGCAAACCACACGAAGGATGCTGAACGTGGATAATGCAGGATGGATATTGGACTTCCAGACCGTCTCGGGGTGTCCAACTCTCAGTAAGCAATGAGTTGGAGATGCTTTAATAGCCTTGTGAAGGCCAGGAGAAAGAACCTCGTGGATTTTTTGCAGGCAGGGAGGCAGTTCACAGCTGAGCATTTCCAGTCCTGAGTCCCATCACCAGGTGGGGATCACTGAGAGGCTGTAGCAGGGTATGGATCTGACATCAGGGGCTCTTCAGTTCTGATCTGTAAAATGGAGTTTGCTATTTCACTTGCTTATTAGCTTGGCTTTGCCACATCTATGCTCTTTGCATCAAGGCCGCCTTATTTTTCTTAAGCGTCTACACTGGGACTAGCACAGTAGACATCTGGATTCAATGGAAGCTTCTTAGTCCTCCTTCAGTTCCATTAAAAAAACCTCTCACAAACAAAAGCCCTAATCATGACTCAGTCCAACATGAAAACAATTCATTAAATGGGTATTAAAATGTCTATTATCCACCACGTAGATCAAATACTATCTTTGTAACATCAAAACCACCATCCAGAAGAAACAATCTATCACCTTGTATTTAATTTGTGAAGGAAGAGGGCTTTTACATTGTAATCAAGGAAAATCTATTGCCTGGTAATTAATCTGAGCCCAGTTAGAAAGAATAGGTCAGGAAGCTGTGTGCCACATGTGCTAGGGTAGAAAGAGCTGATAATGGGAGGGGAAAAGAAAACTGAAAAGCAGGTTTTGAACTGTAATTTCAGAAGGCAAGAAATAACAGCAGTGGGTTATTTAGGCATGCAAACAGAGATGTTTAACTTATTTTTAGACAGAACAAGAAAGATAATCAGTGGATCTGGAGTTCAGAGAGAAAAACGCAAACAAGCAAGCTCTGAGTCTCAGTGGAGGAGATTGACCCTGAAGGAAAAGCTGGTCTGAAGCCCCCCCTCCTCGTTGCTGAGAACACGAACTCCCAGTGGTGCTAATGCTGATATGCTTTTTTCAGCCCTTGCGTTTTGTAGTGGGAGATAATTTATCAGTCTCATTTATCTCCAGTTTAAGAAGAAGAAACCAAGAGACACTTAACGTGCACATTCAGGTTAGTCAGACTTCACTGAAGGGTTGCTTTATGCACTGCAGATGAAGATGTGCTGTAAATTATGTTGCACTGCACCTCTAGCACCTCAGCATCCT